CAGTAAAATGTGGAGCAGGTTTCATAAGTGTAGAGAGGAAGAGGCGTGCCCCCTCCAGAAGAGTCTGGTGCCCACCTCAGCAGGTACACTTTTATGGGACCAGCTCTTCCTCCCTAAGCTCCTACTTGAAAATAATGACACCGTTAAAGCCTTTTGACACCATCGCATTCAAAACTAATACATATCACATCAAATGGATGTTAACTACCTTCATTTGTATTTAACGAGTATTCTATATTATTTCAATTTGATCCTAGTTCAATTTAATCGAAAGTCAACCTGATATCAAGAATTAAATCAAAAATTTATTAAAAAAAAAACCTGCATTTACTTGTACTAAATGAAATAGAATATCATGGCATAGAATGAGTCACTCCTTCCTTTCCCGTGGACGTCATAAGAGGCAACTAAGGGAAGTTAATGGTCAAGGGATGAGCAGCAGCTTCCTTCTTAAAATATCATCAAAGCCTAACTGCAATTGCTAAGCCGTCTGCCAAACGTGGCGACTACTGGCAAAGCCTCCTATAGGGCGAAACCTATATTCACCAGTGAACAGTGAACTGATAATATGATGATGATGAAACTTGCATTTAAAGTGTACTGGAAATTTATATCACCGATACTGAGAACGATACCACCATGTTCATCTATTCCTGTTGTAAACCAACAATGTATGCGAATGTCAGTACGATCTCTGACAAAAGAGATACAATACTTTAATTCTCAGGAGCGGTATTGTGTCAAATATTGCATGGCAACCACACCCCTAATTTTACTGTACCCCAGAATACAATATAATTTATTCTGTTCATGGTATCATCTATAGTTTGCAACCAACTTGATTATCATTTTAAGTAATAAAAAAACGTCATGTAGTCTACTAATATTATATGAAAATTTGTAATAATGTGTGGATATTTAGATAGTTGGACGTTTATTACTTATTTTAAAAAGATTTTAAGAATTTAAATAATTTAAATACATAGTCGTGCACAACTATATTAATAAATAATGCTACCAAAAAAATTAATAATTTATTTCTACCTATCCCAACGGGAGTTAGGTGTGATAAATACGTATGTAAGTATGGTACCAATATATAATATAATTTATAAAATACGCAGAAAAAATATTCCTAATAATACAACTTATTTACACCTTATATAAATACAATTAATTAAACAATGAACTGCTAATTATAATGTAACAATGTATAAGGTAAATAAATATATTAAAAAACACAACACCGCATGACATTATTAACATATACCGCAGTAACCGCAAACATGAATCACGACGTACTTATTATAAATTCAGTGGAAACGAAGTCCGAAGTATTTTGCATTCCTCGCATAGCCTAAGCACAACCGGTAGCGTGCCAAGTACATATATACTGAAAATCTACTGAAAAGCACGAAATAATGCCTACCGCGTCCGATCATTGCAAAATACAGCGTCGAATCAAAGAAATGTTTGGGACAACACGTACGGGTTGCCAAAAAATGGTCACACTGAATACTTTATGCTAAGTGCAGTGCAGAGGTAAAATGAAGTTTATTTATTCATAGCAGTCCAAGTGAACCGAATGCAGCTGCGAAAATGGGAGGGCGTGGGCAAGAAAATGAAACGAATTTCTTAGACTATAAAAAAGTATATATAAGACTAATAAATAAAGAAAAACAAAAGAGAAAAAGAAGATATATAAATTAATTCCATTGTGATATTCGTAGCTGTGTATTTGATCTAAATTCAGTGGGAATTTTAAAGAAAACATGTTACATAGTGTATGCGCAAAATATATAGTTCTAATATTCTGTAGCTTGACCTGTGCTATGACATGTCAATTAATAAAACTAGATCTTACACTAGAGACATTGTGCGAATAAAATTTTGATTCAGGGTTTTTAATATCCCGTGTCCTTTGGGGGGAAGGGATTGTTAGCAATTGAGTTTGACAGCCCCATTGCTAGCAATATGCCCTATCAGGTCAACCTCCGCGTGGTTCCCCCTGGAAACCATCGTGAACAATTCTCGTTGAATTTGTCACAATGGGCTAATTGACCTGCTTCATCCTCACCTATCATCCTTCACTGGTGCCCTGCCGGTGTATACCGATAGCGCGGTTGGGGTTACTATTTCATTATCACCTATAAAAAAAAATATTAAATACGATTACGATTTCACCTTTAGATATTCTGTGAAATAATATGAAAGCTAGATTTCCAGGCAAAATTGTAGACTTATGGCTTAAAACTGAAGGCAGTACCTACTTGCGTATTACTTACAGTAAATAACTAGTAATTGTATAAGGGCAATCTTATCATGAAAATGGTCTTATTATTCCTAGATCCTTCTAGTAATAATAATACTTATTACATTATTAATAATTGACAGTGACAAAACGTTAAAACATAAAATATTACGGCGCTTCATAAATTTTTATTGAGGACCCCGTAGCATTTTAATAGCGCTCGTCGTTTACCAGTAAAGATGATATAAAATTTTAATATCAAAGTCACGATGCTGCGCAGAGCTCTCACTTCAGAAACATTTTATTTTCTGCCCTTGTTATTTGCAAAAATAGTGGATATTTTTTGTGAAAGTTGATGATTATAATATAGCATGTATGTATACGTGGACGAGAGATGGGCAGCAGTATCCCCCTTAAAATATCTCTAAAAGCCTAACTGCGATCGTCAACCCGCCTGCCAAGCGTGGCAACTACTGGCAAAACTCCCCTTATGACGAAGACTTATGTCCAGCAGTGAACAGTTAACGGCTGAAATAATAATAATAAAATTTAAATAAATGTTCCTTTGAATGGGTAAAAATGCAATAGTAACTACGTCTGCACTATCGGTATACGAAAGCAGGGCAGTTAGCTCATAATGACGAACTTCAAAAGAATTTACAATGATGATTTCCAGGTGAAACTACATGGAGGTTAACCTGATAGAATACTGGTAGTAGAGTGCTCATGTCTATATAGGCGACGGTTACTACTTCCATCAGGTGGGCCGTCAGATTGTTTACCATTCTAAGTTGCATAAAAAAAGACCTGAAAGGGTATATTGCTTGTAATAAGGCTTCTAGACACTACTACGAACTCTTTCCCCCTGAAAATACATGTTATATACGACCATCATTTTATTACTTCAAAATGAATATGTTCAAGGCATAGTTATGTTTAATAAGTCGTTATTATTCAAATGGATGTAATAAATTGGTCAGAACAATTTCATCATATGATGATTATATGTTGACCCTGAACAACAAACCATGAATGTCACCTCTTCTGAACTAACTACTCCAAAAGAGTAGGTGATTACCATTATCATAGTGTTTAGACAGCTTAGTATTGTGATATTATTTGGAATTTCCCTTCTTTTTTATTAGAGTGTTATGTTCTCCTGAACATCTCTTACCAAAACTCTTCTGAGACATGTATATTTTATTTTCACCACAAAAAAAATTTTACATCGTAACCAAATCAGATATTTTTACCAAACTACTAAACGGATTTTGAAAAAAATTCTATGTAATCTCAGATAAAAACAGAATTTTTAAAAACGATTTATAAATGACGAAGTTCTGAGATAAAAAATAACCAAATTGAGAACCTCCTCCTTTTTTAAAATCGGTTTGAAAGTAGTAGTCAACTAGTGACATTATGTTGTTATCCTATCGCCACTAAATACACATTAATAAAATAAAACATAATTAGGAAACTTCTTTTTGAAGTCGGTTGAAAATAGAACATATCATTAAATAGACAATATAATATTTCCCATAAACGAATACCTTGAAACAAGGTACTTATGTGTGAACAAAAATATACACGCAATTTTACAATAGGACCTAAACCTTGTTGTCATATAAATAAACGTCATTTTCGTCCAGAAAACGGATAGTAAATCAGTCAGTGCAACACATTTCATGAATGATTTGTACTTGGACTACAATACTCGTGTTATTACTATCGTACAAGTACAAACTTAGTAAAATAGTTATTGGAAAATAGCTCATTTGACAGTGTCTTTAAAGTTCATAATGAATACTTGGTAAAGTTTGTAAACGATAACATTTATGTGTCAAGGACTGTTTATTTCTGCAACACAAACTAACAGCGGAATCCCTAAATCTAACTGCCGGGTACTTTTGATGTTTTTCCTTATAAAAAAAAATATTAAAAATTAGACTTAGAGCTTGATTTGCCAGGAGAAAGGTATATCTCGCTAAATTCCTAAGGAATAAGAAAAAATGGGAAAGGAAACCTTATTGCACTAACTCCAAATAACGGTACAAAAATCAAAAAGATCTGGCTATATCAAACTGTTTATAATTACTCTTCTCCATCCAAAGGGTGCCTGGAAGAGATCGCTCTTAGCAATAAGGCCGCCCATTGTTTTCTTAATGTATATATTTAATTTTCTCGTAATTGTTTGTATATATAATAAGTTTATTATTATAATCTTATAGTGTGACAATAAAGAGTATATATATAGTTATCTACATTTGTAATTTAAGCTGTTCCACCAGTTAGGTTAAACAACTTACTTACTTTAGTTATAACTTAATTGAATTATCGATTAATAAACAAGAAAAAGCAGTTTGGACACATACCGCATTATATACGTAAGTATAATAGACTTTTAATATTTGCATTCATAAATGTTTGGTATTGTAATAAATTTGTTTAATTAGTCAAGTTAGTTATTTGGCATAGTAATGAAACGTTGAGCACATTGGTTTGAAAAATATGTTACTGGATAAAATTTCTAATCGGACGAATTGGAGCTAGCTATGTAGAAAACAGCCAATTTACCTGAGATATTCGTATCGCACGCCCGTTTTTTGCATAACTAGTTTTCCAAATTTGAAAATGAACTTCTTTAATTTTGTTGGTTTTTGTTCGGTTTCAATTACTTTGTCAGTTAATTTGTTCTTCGACAAATTTCAGAGGCGTTCGTGTTAATGAAGTCGGCCTAGAAACTTCATACCTAAGAGCACGACATCCTCACACGTGTAGTAGTAGTTGGTTCGAGGTTGTTGACAGCTCCAGATTGATGTGATGGACATTTACGTTTGATAACGATGTTTTATGTTATCAATCTGTAAAAAAATAGGTTCCTCATTGAGATAACACTGTTTCTATACAAAATATGCATAGTAACAAAACTCTAAGGGTCTTTATCTAAATAGGATATACTATATACTATTTCTTGTACTTACACATATACATAATCAAATATATAATGTTAAGCGAATAAAGTCAGATTTAACGAGTTGAAATATGAGTACTGAAAATCTGCGGATTAAGTCTGACAGATCGCATTCGTAATACGAGAATAACGTGAATGTGTGTGACAACACAGATAAACAATGCGGAAGTTGAAAAGTAACAGACAACGGAAAATCTGATATACATATATACCGTTTAATGTTCGAGGAAGATGTCCAGAATTTACGTGCTTACCTATGACGATTTATAAAAGTGGTGCAAACAGTTTATAAAAAATAGAAGCTGTTTACGTTTGTTTTCTCTGCTCACCCCATGAGGAACACCAGCGCGTGATAAATACAATGTAACCTAGAACAACCATATCCGCAGTAGCCTATAACTCGCACCAACAAAAATAATAATAGCAAACAACTCGTAAATCATAGAGTCGGCATTTCTGGCGAATGTGATCCAAACTTAGATAGTGACTAGGGAATTTGCGTTATATTTAGCAATTTACTCAGCATTATATGAATATGTAGTAAACGCCGCATTGTTTCTGGATTTACGATAGTACATTTTGTAAAACAAGAATAGCAAGAGAATTAAAAACTAATAATAAGATGCTAGTAGCCAGTTTGATAATTAATAAAACCATGATTAGTAATAGGAAAATATTTAGTTATTATGTCAATATTAAAATGAAACAGGATCGCCATATAATCAGATTTATGTTCAAATTTTCTATTAAATCTAATCTGTCACTAAATTGCCAAGTGACTATTTTGTATTATATTTTAATCTTAAACATAAGGCCATATATTTTTATATCGGATAATAATGGAATGGTAACCCCGCCTGCTCTAACGGTATACGCTGGCGAGGCACCAGTGAGGGATGATAGGTGAGAATGAAAAGGCAGCACTACGGTTTCCAAGGGGGCTAAGTGGAGATCGACCTGACAAGGTATATTGCTAGTAATGGGACTGTTAGTCCGCATTACTAACAATCCTTCCCTCCTGTTTTATATTGTATTAGGCCATAACCTAAACCTACTGTTACAAAGCTTATTGTGGTGATAGACAGGTGTGCAAAAAGAAAAATTTGTGGCTCAATTTTGGAAACAAAATCATTTCATAGTGTCAGAAAAATATATTCCCAAAAGGAATGGACTATAAGGATTTTATAAATAAATTCTTAACTGAATCCGACTTCAAAAGCAATGTTCCTTTTTACAGAAGCTAGATGGGCTAGCGATAAAAGTTTACTTCCAAACAAAGGTTTCATATTTTATTGACAGTTTCAGTACAATATACTGATTATTTACTCAAAAATGGTCATAAATGTCGCTAAAAACACAAAACTTCTTCAAACATCTCTTTGTGATCAGCTATTCAACTATTTCACTATTTCATGTGTTCTTTTACAATTTCATAAATATAGTAAGCTCGAAAAGTTGCAATAACATGACTGGCTACGGAACCCTAATCCTAGAAAAAAACAATTTTTTGTAGTACAAGTTATCTCACTTTATGTAATATTTCAGTCTATTGCCCAAGAAAGATAAATACTCTTTATAGTTCCCTCCAGAACATTACATTGTAATACTTGGCAGAAACAAAAATTACTAAGCAGATATCCTATCTAGATTTAGGTTCACAACAATAAGTATGTTTGTTCGTGACTTATAAATAGATGTATTGTGTTATACGAGGATAAATCATAAGGAAACGTCGCTTCGAAAATCCTGTACTTCTTATCCCCGTATTTATTACATTACGTAACTAAAGAGCTAGGAAGTAACAATACTATTGCTCTATTTGTTAAACTTAGGTTGCAGCGTGTGATGCCACTCACCGTGCAAATATTGACGATTTTCAAATTCTTCTTTTCAATCATATCCTAAAATTCGAGGGATCTGATTATTGACCTTTCTGGATAGTTCAACACACCTCGATTGTATACGTCTTTCAGTCCTCTTTCCCCAAACACAACTACTATTAACCTTTCTCTGCTACCCTTATTTCGTAAGTGCCCGAAGAACTTTAGCATTAGCTATCAACAGACTATTGGTCGTTGCGTATATTGTAAACCTCCGAAATTATACTCATTTTCCGGCTTTATGTTCAAGATAAATACTTTGATTCTATGTCACTATCAAAAGAGCAAAACTGTAGTAAAGCAACTATTGGCTGACAAACAGAATATCAAAATAAATGAAGATATTGATTATACACTGAAAAGTAAAATACATACGAATAATAACCTCCTTTTGCAAGTCGTTTAAAAATAAAGATTTTATATCATTGAAGGAGGGCATATCGATTCAGATGGTGGACAATCGATCGATTTGTTCATGAAAACAGGAAAATTTTACAAACATGTATGTTAAGATTTTAAGTATGAGCATACAAGTATTTATAAAATTCAACAAATAGTTACAATCTATTTCACCGTTCGCCGTTCCCTACTGACATTAGCAAGCGGTATCAGGACATGATAGCTTCCGCAGATAAATCCTCTACAAATTGCTCGATAATAATGCTCTTTACTAAATGGTTTTCCCAAACTAAATTACATTTAGAAAATATCTTTCAGACATTTATTATCTGAGCATTTCATCTGTATTCTGTAAACTTTTACCAGGGGGAAACTTATACAAAGACGCCCTATGGGTACCTATGTCACACTTAAGTTTCTACGTTTTGTTACCACGTGTTATTTCATTTCATGTTTATAGACGACAGTACCTATTACCATTTTCTACCGGGTGGTCTGTTAGTTTAAAAAATCTTCAAAAGGTCTTACCTATACTAACTACGTAAATAATTACTTCAACGACGCTCAGTAACAAGCACGTGATGTCGCATTAATGAGTTCCAAGATTCGATTCTTTATCAGACTAATTACAAACTATTAATTATTCTAGTTTCGAACCAAACGAGATAATTATTTATTTGACTATTACGATAGTAATAAATTATTTAACCATCATGAATCAATTAAATAATTATGTTTGCGTACATACAATATTATGTACAAACGACAGATATTAAAATGACGGGCGCGTAGTGGTTTACTATCTTGATTTAAGACTTCCAACCACGTATAATATAGAACAATGAAGTCTAATGTGAATAGATTATTCGTGGGTCTGCGAAGTCCATCTCAGATATCATTACTTTCCGTCAGGTGAAATCGTGTTCAATTGCCAGACTTTTCAACAGTAAAAAGAAATAGAGTACTTACTAATACTATAAATATGAAAGATATTGTATTTACTTGTTACCTGTTAAAGTCTAATTACTATAAAATTTGGTAGGTATATAGTATATCGGATGGAGAATGTTACTTTCTATCCCGGCCAGTGAACATATCCTGGTCACGCGGACAAAGTCGCAGGTAAAAGTTAGTAAAAAATAAATTGGAATGTCTTGATTTCATACATACATATCTGTCACGCCTGTCTTCTAATAGGGTAGACAGAAACAACGACTTTATACTTATGGTAATACTAATAAACCGATGGAAATAGAAAAATTCTAAAGTCTACGTGTATATTTTCTAAATCAATTCTGTGGTAATGGTAATCTAATATACTTTTATTAGATATAACTATGATATAATATTATACACATCATACATCAATCAGTCTATTTATTCTCACTGTTTGACTTTACAATTCCAACAGCAACAACTATTCCAGTTTTTCCTGACAGATTCATATGTTTTACCATATTTCAAATTCATCAAAATTCGTAAGTGAGAACTTAAGAACAAGAGTTTATAAGTCACTGCAAAATAACAGCGATTCAATAAAATATACAATTTGTGAGTCTGCGTATGATGCATGAGATTCCTATCACTGCTCGCATATAGCCAATCCTTGTACATTATTCATTATGGGAATTCACAAGACGTCATAAAGAAAGCCCAGATGGATCCGTCACCGTGCCCTTTCGTGGGCGAATATAATTTCGTGCGACGAATATTAGATCTGCAAATTGGTCGTGTTATCTTCCGCCCTCGCTATTTGCGGTGACCATGAGTTCAGTGAAAGTGCGTAATATTTTACATTGATATACTCTATTTATGAACATTTTATATGTAGTACAAGCGTATAGTTGCGATAATTACATCGTTTTGTATAAATAAGCTTCTTTATCTGAGTTCCCGTTGAGTAGTTTTCAATATTAACACAAAAATTCTTTGAAAAACTTAGTGACGTCTTAAAAAATATCATGCAAATAGCTAGAAAAAATTATGGGTGAAAATGGAATAGTATCCCCGTCTGTGCTATTGGAATACGCTGGCGGGGCATCAGTGGGTGAGTAATAGGTGAGGATAAAAACTCGTTAGTTAGCCGATCGTGTCGAATTCAACGAAAAAAAAAATTAAAATTTGGTTTAGACAAGTGAACAATTAAAAACGACTGCATGTAAAATTATATAATTACTTTACAAATATATTTCTTATCTCAAATCCACACCACAATTTAGTTTCATTTACAGGTCTAGTGTTTATTCGCTGTACAGAAACAATGCTGTAAGAATTGTGAAACCAACGCGAACTAATGTAATATGAAATTAACTTAACCTCGTTACGGTAACATGAAGGGATTAAATTATAGTTACAATTAGCTTAAATAAATCCCTTGGAGTACTCTGTAAATATTTCTACTTGGCATCAACGTACCAGGAATTACTAAGTAGCGTGATTAACCCAGTCCTTATCACATAGCGACAGAAGGACAAATAGTGGAAAGTAATTAATAATGAGCGCTACAGTAGTTGACACTTAGAATTACGTAAAGATTTATTTTACTTAAGATACGTAGAAATTTCTATTAGCATAATAAATGCGAAAGTTTGTTAAAAATGGAAGTTCCATA